GTTGGCTTGATAGTATAAAGAAGAAATCACTTTTTTTTTTTTTTAGAATAAAAAGTGCAGCCCTTAAAACAGGTTTTCATATTTTGAAAAATATAGACTGTTTGTTTGAAGCAAAATTAGTTGATTTAAAACTACTTGTATTAACCATATGTTGGGAAATTAGATATGATCAAACCAAGTTTCGAAGGGCAAAATTGGTGAATTCGAAACTCTAATTATGAAAGGAAACCTAAGGCAAAAGTTGTCAATTACACTCCATATGTTGGAAAAGTTCAAATTGGGTTTCCAGTATTTCATTGGGTATGATTGAATCAAGTTTCGAAGAATGAAATCGTTGAATTCGAAGCCCTAAGTTTGTTTGTTTTTGACAAATGAGGTAAAATCAAACCATGCCAAATAATAAAAAAAACATCTTGGCTTTATTCAGAAAAAAACAAACAATTACATCAGAAGCCTTCCTTGGCGACATATTCAAGTTCATAAAAATAAAGAATAGAATAAATGACAAGCTTATGGAACTTGTTCCAGCTATGATCAATGAACCTCTGTTCTTTTTTTATTCTATCTTCTATCTTCTCCAGGCTAGACTGCTGAAGTTGATATGCTCTTACTTGATAAAAAAAAGTTTTCGGCCTTTATTTCAAATTCTGTTTCTTTCAACCCTTGTTCCATCTCATCCATGTCCAAATCATCCCAGTATGCAGAGTCTTTGTTCTTGAAATCGTCAAATTTGTCGATGAGGCTCTCTGCTTCATACCGGGTATGAATTCGATGGGCTGAGATTTGGTTCAAAGATTGAGTGGTGGCCACAAAAATGTGATGCCAATGAAGAAACAGCGGGAGTTGGTCTAAAAACATCTGAAGTTCTGCTTGGGCAATGGGGGTTAAGGATATGACCCCGGGTCATAACATCACAAGCCCATCGAAAGTTCTTGAGGTGAACATCGTCCTCAAGAACATTAAAGGGCAAGTGAGAAAAGGCTGCAAGCAGAAGTTGGGCTTGCTGTTGCTGATATTTCGTTGGTGGAGATGGAGGGTGATAGGACGAGAGAAACTGGTCCTCAAAGAGAGTATTTCTTAGTTCCTCCATCCAGTGAGGGTTTTGTAGAAGAGGTGGTGCAGGAGCTTCCATCTCGAAAGAAGGAGGAGATCGGGGGTTGTTGACAATATCAAGCCAGTCAGAAGAGCAAAGTTTTGCCTTCTGGGCTAAGAATGATGGGCTATACCCTTGAACTTCTTCTGGACGACGGACAGCTTATACTATCTTCGTAGGCATGGAAGATGTGTACCATGCTACGAGTAAGTTGTCTTCCAGATGGCGTCGGCAGTCAATAGGTACATATGGATAAACCATTAAACTCCGAGCAAAGGGAGGGAAAGTTAAAGGATCAACAAATTCGACAAAATGATGGTTGATTCGCTCTCTTAACTTGGACTCCTCAGGTTCTGGCCAGCTTTTCCAACCAGAAGCCCCAGAAGAAAAAGAAGCTGCAGCCTCATCTCACGCAGAAAGTTTTGGGTCAGGGGAAGAACTTCCAATATCCATGTTTGCAAAAATTTGAGTTAAAGAATTGTGAACAATAGGTTCGTAATCCAAAGATTGATAGTTGGCAAAAACTTTCATGACTTGAATATAGGGAGGTGGATAAAGGTGGCTAATCAATGCATGAAGATTCTTTCGAGGACGAACAACATTATAAAACAACACTTCATATGCTTGTTCGAGGTAAGAAAATGTCTGCTTGGCCATGAGAGCTGAACTAGTCTATTCGGATACTGAGATAGTGGGAATGTTCAAGGGGTAGAGGAGAATTTAATGCAAATGTGCATTGATGAATGATGGTTGCATTTATGAAAATGTAAAGCCCGTGCACGTTCTAAGACGTAAATAAAATACCTTGATCCACTAATATCACCGAGTATTGAGTGTATTAGGGCGGGGGGTAATGTTGGCTACATATTTTGTATAAGCCAATCACAGTTCAACACATGGCAAGATGAGGGCAATACGGGAAGACAATTCAAATCTTCATTCGTAGTCGCACACATGGTAATTAGTATTTGTTATTGTAGATCTGCGTAGCACTAGGTCAGCAAAGAGATGCAAGATGTCGTGGCTTTAACGGTTACTCATATATTTAAATTCAAAATCATGAAGGAAGCCTAACTGCAGATATGGCATAGTGGAGCTAACTGTGAGGAAACATGATCAGCTATTATGGAGGGATGGTTCGACGGTTAGAAATTCATTTCGACGGTTGTCATTGAGAAGTATAAATAGCAAAGAAGGCCCCAGACTCAGGTTCAAAAAACCAGTTTTATATATTTTATTTTCTTTCCAGTTTTTACATTTCTTGTTCTTTACATTTCTACACTTCAAATTCCTGCACTGCACTTCGTTCATAGGAGCAGTTTCAAGTAGTTTGTTGCTGTAAACCTCTACGAGGCTGATTTGGATCATTGTAAGTCTTTCATTTTACTTAATGAAATGTTACAATTATTCTTCATTTAATCGTTGTTTGCTTAATTCTCCTAAACAAAGCTACCAGTAAAAGTCCTCTTCATTGAGGCTGAAAGAACTAAAACACAATCGTCTGATAATTGGTTGGCAATTAATATTTTGTAAGGACTGATTGATCCTTGCTGGCACGCTCAAAATTACAATAATAACCTTCGACAGCCAAAAAAGCCAATGGATACAATTTACATCCAGCGTAGCTAGCTAGCAAACACTAGGGCGTAATAGGTGACGATTAGAGTTTGGAGATTTGTTTCTTTTTAGTTTTTAGATTCGAATCTTTTAATCAGTAAGTGCATAGCTTGGGACCACAGTCCAAATCGCGTAAGTCTTGTTTCGAAAGCCTTGTTCGAGTTGTAGGGACTTAAACTGATGGACGTAAACTAGTCCAAATACCCTACTTAAAAAAGAAAAAAAAAGAAAAAAAAAAGTATATAGCTAGGTAGCAATCTGTCAAATTGAGAGATTTACATTTGACTCATGAATCCAACTTTTTGGTGCAATGTTTGTCATTTTTTCAATTCATTTACTTCACATGTTTAAACAATAAATGATTGAGAAATACCAATCATATATTACAATTTGATATTATAATATTGAAAATGCATTATACCCCCACTGGGGGATCATATATTACAATTTGATATTATAATATTATAATAATCAAAATAAAAAAATAAAAAATATATTATTTCTACAAAAATTTGTGCACAGAAACTCTCATGGGTCCCTAATGAGTCCACATGTGTAGCCCCACTTTCATATAAGAATGTCTGTACATAATTTTTTTTTTTTTTTACATATAATATTGTTGAAATAAAATAATATGATTTTAGACCAACCATTTCATTAACAAGTTATTTTGAAAAGTGACTATTTTATTATATTTTATTTTTTATTTTTTACGAAAAAATATGAAAGAAATGAAGAGAAAAAATTATATCTTTTTATAATAATTTTAATTTTCTAGCTATTTTGTGCTATTCCCAAAACAACTGGTAGTAACTTTTACATGTACATGATTTTTTTTTTCTTTTTTCTTTTTAAAGGCAAAAAAAGAAAGCTCTTGATATTGGTTGATGATGAGATTTAACTCAATTTAAAAGAATGGATCCTACTAATAAGATAACAATTCCACAACAAAAATCTAAAAATTTTAAGATAAGAGTCCAATATCTTTTAAAGAAAGGCGTGCCCAAACATCCAACCCAAACATCGGGGGATTCTATTTACACTTAAAAAATTGTTAAGTACTGTCAATTTTTGAGTACACCCTATTCAATTATTTAAAATTTTATATAACTCTCAACACCCTACTATTTTTTTTTCTAAATTACCCTCAAGGTAAACTCAAATAATAAATAATAAATAATAAAAAAATTAAAAAAACAAAAACCAAAGGCAGACTCTATAATCAAAGATACCATCGACAAGTTTCTCGTCCTTCACTTCGGTCGATCTTTCGATCCCCTTTATCTCCAGCTCGACGAAATCGTACGTCTAGGGTTTTCCTTTCTCTCTTCTCTGTTGTTTAATTTTTCTTTATAAAATAAATAATGGCTTATATGTTGATGGAAGACCTAATTTGAATCGCAAACGCACCTGATAAAAAAAAAAAGGACTCAATTTTGTTTATATATCAAAATTCTCATCTAATCATGAAGCAAAATATAGTTTGATTTTAACATTGTTAAAGTGAATGATCACTTGTATACTTTGTATAGCATATTGCCTTGCCTTTATTTTTTTGTATCTCTTTCTTCTCTTGTTGTTTGCTAGTCCAATTTGTTGATTACTATGTATTTGACAAAATGCTTGAATGAGAAACGCTCTAATACCTTGTTTGGCTTACCTCTTTTATTGATTTTTTTTCTATATTTTTTTACAAATATTATACTTTTTAGGTATATATGCATATAATAGTGAGTTTTAGTAAGGTGAATTGGAATTTTGAAGAGAAGAAGAAGAGAAAAAAAAATAATTTTGATCTCTTGAAAAAGAAGATACAAGGATTTAAATAAAAATAATTGATTATGGTGTATAATAAGAAAAAAATATTTTATTTTAAAGTTTAATATGTATTATTCGTATTAGTAAATTTAGTATTAAAATATAATATAAATTAAAATTTATGCATTCAAATTAAATATACTAACATATATTTTGAATTCAAATAGAATTGTCACATAGGAAGGAGGATAAAAGCCACTGGATCACCAGTCCCGGCGGTGGTCACATGTGCATAGTTTGAGTTAACAATTTCTCAATAATAATTAGTGCAATTGTGTCAATAATAATGTGATATATATTGATTGTTTTCTCTACACCAAGCCACACGTTACTGACTTTTTTGAGAGTAGAACGACCGTTACTGGTTTCTCTGAAATTTTCACAAAAACCAGGGGGTAATTTAGACAATTCAAGTTTCAACCGACAAGTCTCTTATCACGACGAAACGCTCCATCTATAAATTCTATCCAAACCCAATCCTCCAAATCCCAACCTTCCCAGAGACTTCTACACACAAAAATTCAAAATCCAAACAATGACTCTCAAATCCCAATCTCAAGCAACCCTCTTCATCTTCGCTCTCTTCGTCATCACATTCGTTCTCACCGATGTCTCCGCCGCGCAAGGCGGCCGGAAGCCCTTGCTCGGCGGGTGGACTCCGATCCAGAACGTGAGTTCGCCGGAGGTCCAAGAGGTGGCGCGATTTGCTGTTTCGGAGCACAACAAGGAGGCCAACACCAACTTGAAGTTGCAGAAGGTGGTTTCCGGCGAGACCCAGGTGGTTTCCGGCACGAATTACAAGCTAGTGATTGCGGCAGCGGACGGCGGCGGCGGTGCCGGGAATTACGAGGCGGTTGTTTGGGTAAAGCCTTGGGAGAACTATAAGAATCTCACATCGTTTAAAAAGTTGTGAGACTTCTCGTTAATGTAAAATAATAAAAAAATAAATTTTAATAAAAGAAAAAAAATATATGTATTTTTTATGTTTATTTTTTATAATGTTACTTTTTAAAAATATTTTCTTATCATATTTTATATACCGTTGGGCTTCTTTCATATTCATTTTTCAATTTGAGAGAATTTGAATGTTCATGGGCTATCTTGATCCGTTTTGATAATTTAAATTGTTTATTTTATATAATTTTCAATGTATATGATTTATGAAATCGATTTTCTCCCTCCACACTTCCAATAATATGACAAATAATACCAATCAATTAACTCTTTTCAAATTAAAAAGTTATTGGTTGGTCTTGGGACACCGCACATGTTGTATCAACATGATTATCATTGGTGGAAGAGGTAGGACCTATAAATTTGTGTTAAGTGATTGAAAAATATAAGAAGTATGGTAAATTATAATTGGTGAGAGGTATACTCATGTGACATCCCGGAAAAACCAATAATTTTTTTCTTCAAACTTTCTTTCTCCGTTCAAAATTATTTATCACATCATTAGGGAGTGTTTGGGGGGAGATTAGGAGATGTAATATTATTTTTTTCATTTTATTATGTTTGTTTTTTTTTTAATTTAAAAATAGATAATATATTTTTAAAAATATATTTATTATTTATATTTTAAAAAATAAATGTAATAAAATAAAAAGATTATTATTATTAAATGAAATTAATTTTTTAAATTATTTAATTATGGTGATTTTTGCTACGTGAGCTGTATGTCAAATGAAGAATGTTAAGAGATACAATTTTTTTTTACCAAACATTCTTGTGAGATCTACATGTGAGTCTAGCCTTTTTTTTACCAAACATTTTTACCAAACAGTCGCAATGTCTAGCCTTTTTTATGCCAAATTGCTGTGAAAAAAACTATGGGCAATAATGCATTAATTATGGTAATTATTGCTATGTGAGCCAAATGCCAAATTGATGGGATAACAACTATGCAATTGAAAAATATTTGACACGATTAAAAAAGAAAGTAGGTAATAGGCCTTAATAATTGGATTTAATTTTCATCAAATTCTATTGAAAATAAATTTTAAAAAAATTGTCGCTAAAAATAATTTTTTTGTGTCAAATTTTTTTTTGTCGCTAAAAATTGATAATTAGTGACTTTTTTTTTGTTATAATTTTTATAAATTATCACCAAAATTTACCATTAGTGACTTTTTTTATGAATTTTTTTTCTTCATAAGACCTATTAGATAATAAGTCTACTTATTAGGACCTACACGTAACTAAGTCTACTTATTAATAGGTCTACTTATTAAGACCTATACGTAACTATCCCTAAAAAGTATTCATAAATTGATTCATAATAATGTGATATGATAATAGATCTCAATAATGATAGAGACCACTAAAAAATTTCATCACTAATAGCTCTAATGAGTTGGAAAATGTAAAAAATAAAAAAAAAAATAAAAAACACAAGAGACAACAATCACATCAAAGGGAGAGCCACCTCATTAGTGCTCTCATAGTGCTCCCTTCTTAGTACTCCTAAGCATTAATCTAATAGATCTAATTTTTATGTCACCTCATAGTAGATAAATTTGTGAATATAAAAGTATGAATTTCTAACATTACTCATATCAATTAATACATAAGATTTGTAATCCTTGAGGAATATCCCATTCCCATAGGATGAGATGACCCTCCACCTGTTATTTGAATTATGAATTTAGATAAAAGTTTAAAATAAAAAAATATAAACTATAAAACTATATTTATTTCATATTTTACTCAATTTTTTTTTAAATCTCTATTATTATTTTTTTAAAAAAAATTCTACTTAAATTTATAATTGAGCATGCGTGACTTAAATGAATGCATACCAAGCCATGATGATAAGGTGTTTAAATAAGAGGAATACAGAGACGTAATGAAAATCTCTTTTATTCGATTATTTGAGTACAATTAAAAAGGAGAAACAAGATTATCACACTAGCATAAATCCTATTTCCTTATACTCATGAGAATCTCACATTTTTAAATAGGGTTGTAAATTAGTAGAACTGTTCGTAACAGATTCGAGCTCAACTTGACAGAGCTCATTGGAATTCAATTCGTTATTTATTTATTTATTTATTTTTATATTTAAGTTTGAGTTCGTTAAAATTTTAATAACTAAATTTAAACATATTAAAACTCAGCTCGTTAGATGGGTCATAATATTTATTACTTATATATTAAGTAATGTAAAAATATATACAAAAAATAAGATAAATATGCTATTTATATATTTAAATATATATATTTATATATATAAATAATAGCTAACTATAAATAATACATTTATATAAAGTGGTGGTAGATATTATTATTTTGGTAAAATATTAACCTTTCGTTTGGTATATGTGTTTATATATAATTGTTTAACTTTAGTTTCATATGTAAGTATAAATTTATAATTTTTTTAATTCGTTAAGACTCGTGAACAGGTTTGAACTCTAATCAAGTCTAAACCAATTCAACTCGAACTTGATTCGTTAAATTTTTATTGAGCCAAAGCATAAACTTGCTAAAATCTTAACAAACTAGCCAAAACATACTAAAATTCAGCTCAGTTCATTTGCAATCCTAATATAACTAAACACATTTTCTATTATAATTAAAATAATAATTACAATAGATCATAATTAATATTATAATGAATTATAATCAAATCATAACTAATACTACAAAAAGTTATAACTAAAGATCACAAATGTCATAACTAAAGCATATAATATGAGTGTTTGGGAAGTTGCTATTTTAGTAGGCTATTTTAGTTTTTAACTATTTTAGTAAGCTAAAATTTTTGTGTATGGAAAGATAATTAGATTTTTTTGTAGTTAGATGTGATGTTTTGTGAGAGAAAAAATGAAATGATTATGAGTTTAATATAACACTTTATCTTATTAACTATTTTAGCATATGTTATCTTTTTATGAATTTTAATCTAAATTAAGCTAAAATCTCACTTCCCAAACAACGCGAATACACACCTCAAAATAAAGTGTAAATTGTAGAATTTTTCAAAATTTACACCTCCCATTTCCTCTTTGGAGCACATTGGGCTTGCAATTCACAGGCTTGTAATTCCCATTTCCTAGGACACTATCCATGCTTATTTTCCTACTTTGGATAAATAAATTTCAAGTAAATTTACTACCAATACCAGAGAACTTTTTTTGAAAAATAAATTTATAAATATTTTTCATCCAAATAAATTTTTTATTCAACCAAATTTTCTATGTACACACAACTAAATGTCAATATATATATATATATACATATGAATATTGTGGGACTGATCCTAAACAATTATAATTAAAAAAAAAATTGTGAGACTCCGGGATATTTTGGAAAATTGGTAAAAAATTGACTTTTTGACTTTTTTGACAAAAAAGTTAATTTTTTTGGTGACTTTTTTGAGAGAACTTGGTAAAAAGCAAAAAAAACTGACTTTTTACCAAGTTTCTAAATTGCTCCTCCATAATGGGGGTGTTTATTTCAACTTTTCAAAGCTAATTTATAACTTTTAACTTTGAAAAAGTTATTTTAGACTGTTTGGTTAAACTTATTTCAAACAGTTTCTGATTCTAACAGCTTATTTTAATTCAAAAAAGCTGATTCTGAGAAGCTGCTCACCCATTATGGAGGGGAAAGAACACAGAGAGAGTCAGGGCTTCAACACAAGAGACAGTCGGGAAATTTACCTCTTAATCGTCGGATGAGAGGGAAAAAGACAAAGAAGTTCCCGAGTAAAGGGAACGAGCTATCGGTGTCGGAGTGAAGAGAAGGAGTGGTCGCCGTGGCGTCCGAGTGGGAGGTCAGTCAGTATAGCTATTACCGTAGAACAAGACATACATGTTTGAGGGCGGAAAATTTCAAAATAAATGTGAAGATGTGTTTGGTCTTATAGTCACGTGACAATCACGTGATGTTTTACCTTTATTTTTATATTACTTTCTTTCATGATGTTTTTATATATTTATATATTTTAATTTTTACTATTTAAATATGAAACTTGAGATTTTACCTATCAGAATTTATGTATTGATATATTAACAGTGTTAAATTGGTAATTAGATTAATTTTTCACCTTTATATTCTTATATTATTTTCTTTCATGATGTTTTTTTAATATTATTTTTATATTTTAATTTTTTTGCCTTTTTAAATACAGCAATGTTAGTATCATGAAAACCTTTATGAAAATAATCATAAAAGTTTTGTGAATTTTGGATTACACTTAAAATAAAGCACCACACACTATCAAGTAATCTAATGATCATAAATCTTTCATGATTATTTTTATGAAAAAAATTTCATGATCCCTAACTTTTCTCTTTTAAATATGAAAATTGAGATTTTACATAATCAGAATTTATGTATTGTTCACACCCTCTAAAAGTATGTAGTGTGTTAACAAATTTATTCTCATATATTTTGTGTGAATGTATTCTAGCGCTGAGTTTGATTATGAATCCTCTACAAATATGATATTAATTTAAATTTTGTGTAATCAATTTACTCTGAAATAAGTCATGTTTCTTTAGGATAGGGTTGCAAACGAGTGCGAGCCGAGTTTTAGTATGTTTGTATTTGTTTATTTAAATTTAATAAGTTCGAACTCGAGGTCGAACTCAATAAAAATTTAACAAACTCGAACCTGTTCATGAACCTTAACGAACTAAAAAAAAATTAGAAATTCATATTTACATATGAAATTAAAGTTACAATTGAAACTTTAGTTTATATAATTATATACACAATTATATATATATATATATAAATTTAAAAAATAATATTTACCGAAAATATAATATCTGCCACCACTTTATATAAATGTATTATTTATTTAGCTATTATTATATATAATAATTATATATTTAAATATATAAATACATATTTATCTTATTTTTGTATATATTATTACATTACTTAATATATAAGTAATAAATATTATGACCCATCTAACGAGTGAGTTTTAATATGTTTAAATTTAGTTATTATAAATTTTAACGACTCGAACTTAATATAAAAATAAATAAATAAATAATAACGAATGAATTCCAATGAGCTCTTGTCAAGTTGAGCTCGAATTGTT